CAGACGATGGAACAGGAAAAGCAGGTCGAAGGCAAATAATTAAGGGTATCCTACTGTAAATCATGCTAAGGAATGTGAATGCCTCTTGTTAGGTTGTAGAGAGCTACAAATCACTTTTTAAGTAGGAAATGACATGAGTAAGTCTGTGTTTTAGGCAAAAGCAAGCTGATGACAAGTGGGGGATTAGAGGCAAGGGGAAGAATCAGGGAGATCGGTTGGGAGGCTATTACTACAATCCCAAAGGCGACCTGAACCAAACTAAATATAGCCTCTAAGAGGGATAGGAACTATGTGGGAGGAGGGAGACAGTGCCAAGATGTCTACTTTGGGATCCTGGATTCGTGGTAAATATATCAATTAAGGCAGGAAAGCAGAAGAGCAGACTAAAGAGGAATGACACGTGTGTTTTATTAAGACACATGTCATCAGAGATCCAGTGGGAGACGTCCAGGGGGCAGGTAAAGATAAAGAGCTAGACCTTCTGCTGAAGGACAGGTGGGGAGAACAGATGATAGACCAGGGGAGTCTTTTGAACACAGGGCAGGGGAAGAGGGACAACTGAAGACCTAAGAATGAACATGAACACAGAGCACTGAGAGGAAAAAAATACAGGTGAAGAGAAAAAGCTAATGAATGCCAGAGGGGCATTGATAATTTCAGAGGCAAAGAAAAGAAGGAGCATCCACCACTGGCAACTCTCCCTGGGAAGGGAAAAAGGGAAGGGTCATTCAGCAAGTCTGGATTATGAATTAAGGAAAAGTGGATACTCATCCATTATGCCACATTCTTTCCTCCAGCCAAGCCATCACCAGGCTCTTCCCTAGGGTTCTTCCCACTCTGGAGGGGCTCTGAGGACATAATCAGTGTTAGGGGGAGACCACAACAGGGGCCACTTGAGTAACAGTGTCCATGAATCTTCTTGAAAAAACCCCTTTTTCAAACCCCTTCTCTGGCACCTGCTACAACAAAGAACATTTCCAACTTTCATTCTTGGGGTACTTATTTTAAATATGCTTATAATTAATATACTGCATTTTCCAAACGTATTGCCTTTATCTATTTCTAATAACTAAAAGGGAGGTTTTAAAAAATAACCCCAAGATAGGGGGTTTATAAAGTTTTAAGTTTTATAAATAGAACACAAAAAGTAATAGCCATAAAAGAAAAAAAAAGTCCATCATTGGACTTCATTAAAAATCATCAAAGACTGCATGAAGATAGTGAAAAGGCAAGCCACACACTGGGAGAAAATACTTGTAATACATATTATCTGACAAAGGACTCCTATACAGAATACAAAAGAACTCAAAGAAAAAGATCCACTTCAAAACCTGACAAAAGATTTTAACAAAAATTTCACAAAATGGTATCGAAATGCCAGTAAGTTCATGAAATGGTATTTAACACTAGTCACTAGGAAATAGAAATTAAAACCGTAAGGACCACCTCACACCCGTTAGGATGACTATTATCAAAAGAAAAAGGAGAAAGGAAAAGAGGGAAAAAAGAAAAAACAGAATAGGGGCACCTGGGTGGCTCAGTCCTTTGAGCATCCGACTCGATTTCAGCTCAGGTCTTTCTTTTAAAGATTTTATTTATTTATTCAATACAGACAGAGAGGCAGAGACACAGGCAGAGGGAGAAGCAGGCTCCCCTCAAGGAGCCTGATGTGGGTCTCCATCCCAGGATCCCAGGATCATGACCTGAGCCAAAGGCAGACGCTCAACCACTGAGCCACCCAGGAGCCCTCAGCTCAGGCCTTGATCTCCGGGTCCTGGGATAGAGCCTGGATTTGGGGTTCCATGCTGGGTATGGAGCCTACTTGGGGTTCTCTCCTACTCTCCCTTTACCCGCTCCCTCCCCCACTCACTAGCATGCTCTCATTCTCTCTTCCTTTCACTAAAAATATAAAATAAAGGAAAAAACAGAATTAAGTGTTGGCATGGATGTGGAGACTGCGGCCCCCTTCCACTCTTCTGAGAATGTCACATGGTGCAGTAGCTATGAAAAACAGGATGGTGGGTTTCTCAAAAAATTTAAATAGAATTACCATAGCCAATCCAGCAGTTCCACTTCTGGGTACATGCCCCCAGGAAACTGAAAGCAGGGTTGTGAAATACCTGTACACCCATGTTCTGAGCAGCACTATTCACAACAGGCAAAAGGTGGCAGCAATCTCAGTGTCCACCCAAAAGATAGATAAGTGGATAAACAAAATGTGGTAGATGCCGATGGTGTGATAGCACTCAGCCTTAAAAAAAAAAAATCCTGACACGTACTACAACATGAGTGAATCTTCAGGACGTTTGGCTCAGTAAGATAAGCCAGTTACAAAAGAGCAAATATTCTGTGATTCTACCCCTGAGATACTTGAAGTAGTCAAATTCATTGAGACATAAAATACAATGGTGCTTGCCAGGGGCCATGGGGAAGGGAAACCAGGGATTTACTGTTTGATGGGCAGTTTCAGGTCTACAAGATGAAAACAGTTCTGCAGACACATGGTAGTGATGGTTGTTACCCAACAATGTGAATGTGCTTACGGCCACTAACTGTACACGCATCAAGGGGTTATGGTGGTGTATTTTATGTTACCTGTGTTTTGCCACCACTGAATTTGTTTCAATTTTAAAACCCCCAGGGAGATAACAGTATGCCCTCCCACCAAGAACAGCTGAACTTAAAAAAGACTGCCCCCAACCAAGTGTTAGCGAAAATACAGAACAACTGGAATAACTGGAACGCCTTACACCACTGGTAGAGTCTACATTGGTACAATCACTTTGGAAGACTATTTGGCAATTATTTACTAAAGGTAAATATTAAGCCTCCTCTATGACCATGCAACTCCATTCCTAGCTGTGTGCTCATGAGAAATGAGTGGGCATGTGCACCAGAAAAACGTTAAGGAAGACTGTTCATAGCAAGGGTCTCATGTTCAGGGTCACCTGGGTGGCTCAGTCCGATAAGTCCCGGACTCTTGGTTTCAGCTCAGGTTCCGATCTCAGGGTCATGAGATGAAGCCCTGTGCAGCTTCTTCGGCCTCCGAGTCTGCTTGCGATTCCTTCCTCCTCCCTCTCCCCCACCTCCTGCCCCTCTCCCCACACTGTCCCCCCAACACTCCGTGCTCTCTCTAAATAAAATTTTTAAAAATAAAAATGAATTTTCGTAGTTGCTTTATTCGTATTAGCCACAAACTAAAAACAACCCTAAAATCCAACAGAATGGATAAACAAATGTAGTATGTCCATCCAATTCAACTATAAATCAACAATGAACTAGAATGAATTACTACTACAGACAGTAACACGGATGAGTCTCCCATACATTATTATGTTAATGTGAAAGACACAAGAATCCCTTAACTGCATGAAGACTGCCTGAAGACATACACAAGAATCCCAAAACTAGTAGCTGGAGTTTTTAAAAACCATAATGTGAAAAAAGAAATCTGAATATGGTTACCTTCAGGTTTGTAGTGAGTGAGATAAAAACGGACCAGAAGGGGAAAGAGGAGAAAATCGGGGGTGGCGGAAGAGATCCATATCTTGACCTGGGCGGTGTTCACACATGTCAAAATTCACTGAGCAGGACACTTTGGAATAATGTGTTTTTACACTTTATTGTATGTCATACCTCATAAAATAAAATATCTCTAAAGCACCTAATGTCTCTACAATGAGGGTAGTAGGATTCAAAAAGGGAATAAAAATCTCAACTTGAAAAAAAAAAAAATCTCAACTTGTTGGGCTATTCCTTTCAGACCTAGAAGATGAGACCCTATTCATATTAGAAGCATAGAGGGTTGATTAGTTGCCGGAGTCAGATAATGAATCTAATAAGTCCCACACACTGCAAACTTACCTGTTCCTAAATGTCGACAAGCTTTCCTGAAGCCACTCCCTATCCGTGGGGTCTTTGCATTAAGAACCCCCTCAGTCCTCAGTCTAGCCTATACTTTCTGAGTCAGAGGTCCCAATTTGCTTTCTACTGGTACGTGTCCAATTTGGCCTTTTAAAGCTTTGAGAACAGCATCTGACTGTTTTACACCCTCATCGGCAGGGGCTAATTAAATCCCTCTTCAGCTATAAAGGCAGAATGTCAAAAATCACAAGATATCACCACATTCCCGAATTGTGATGAATGCGTACACCCCGAGGAAAGAGAAAGCTTCATTCTCGTTAACAGCCATTTTGATGCCTGCCCCTAACACAGCCAAGGTAGCAAGAACTTTAACTTCCCTGGGAGAGCACCATGAGCCATGGCCCACCATTCTAAGAGAAAAATCCACAATGCTAAACCCCTCCCTTCTTCAACCATTCATAATACTGTGCTACCCAGTCGTTGAAAAGGCCCTTAATATGCAAATCTTTATGTTTTAATGACCCTCGAAGGCAAATTCTTTTCAAATGCATCACAATGAAAAACTCTTAATTTGATAGTCTTTGATCCCCTTTGAAACCTGCCATTAATTTAGTGAAATGGGTGAATTATGAAGGTACCTCGTCTGTGTTCAGCTTGGGAAAAGAAAAAGGACGAGATGGTCAAAAAAAAAAAGCCTGGTTTCAAAGAAGCAGCCTGATGCCTTGGTGTTCTGGTAAGCCGTATGCCCAGTCAACAGCGAGATGTAGTTTTTGTGAAAAGCAGATACTATCGTGTAGGCTCAACAGGGTGACTGGTTAAAAGTGTCCCAAATGAAATCATTCAAAAAAAATTAGCAGTTTTACACAGTTTAAACAAGTGTTTTTAAAAGCAACAACTTGTTAAATGCAAAGCCACATAGTCACAACGGAAAACAAAGCTTCTTTGGGGGTGGGGGCGTAAAAAGTAACAGAACTACACGCAGGATTTTATTTAAATACACTGTAATAGAATAAGCTGGTTTTCTCCTCTGGAAATGCCTCAAAATAGGTTTCACTTCATAAAAGTCTATATAAATGTCAAGATATTGGAATGCGATAATCATAAAACCGGCTAGGTGTATTAATTTTTCTACATACCTGTGGTTTTTCTGATTCCAGTACTAGCTTACTCGTGTATATTCACTCCTATTTTTCAGAAACCACTTCTGGAAGCTCCCGTTTTTGGCTTCCACACTGCCACCTGTAGACATAAAAGAGAAATAAACCTTATGCATTATTCATCAACCACGCATCTTTTCTAAGCAACTAACAGGGACAATTGGGGCAAAAGTAGCAAAGTCTTTGCTCCAAGAGATTTTTTAAAACGTGTTCTTTCTCCTCTGTGTGGAAATTCTTAAGGAGTCCCTCCCGGGAAGGTTTGATAAATGACTTAGAAATCGAAACAGATTAAATCTCACATCAACACCACTCTGATCAGTCCATTAAAGAGATGGAGTCACAGAACCCATCCACATGCCAACCCACAACCATTTCAAGATCTGCCACTTCAAATCAGAAGACACTTTACCACTTTGTTAACTAGGGAATTGAGAATTCTGTAATTTACCCCAAAGAAGAAAAAAACATGAGGGAGAGATCCAGGCAAAGCACACTTGCTCCCATGGCTGTAAAGTATCTATTAAAAACAGTAATATCAACTCTCAAATGAAGCAGTGCTTTATCCATCCTAAACAGCAGTTAGGTGGGGTTGTTTTCCTCAGAATGCCATATTCCCGTTGTCAATGTGAATGTAGAGCGCTGAAAGAAAGGGCTTTCCCAAAACCCCATAGATTTTAACACAGGTAGGTCTTTTTTACTTTAAAAGAAAGGAAAAAAAAAAAGTCGGATGTATCCAAATCTAAGAGCAGAAGAAGCAGACCAAGCAATAAATGAAAATCCACGAACTCTCAAGTCAAAGCAGCCACGAGGGGAGGGACGTGTGCGCGCGCGCGTGCGAGAAGAGTCAGAGAGAGAGACACACACAGATTTTAGAGTTATTGAGAGTAACAGAGCAAAGCAGGGTGTGTTTTGTGTCTGTAAGGGAGAGCGAGGGAGCAGCGACGAAGATTCTAGAGTGAATCGAGAAAAACAGATGGAACCATGGGGTGCTGTGTGTGCCCGCGCGTGTGAGACAGACAGGACAGACACAGATTTTACAGATTTTAGAGTTAACAGAACAACACCGCGCCGCGCAGCTCTTTACCTCCGGGGTCCCACCGTCCACAGAGAGCAAGTGCCCCAGCTCCAGCACCTTAAGCCAAAGACACAAGCCCCACCCCCACCCCACCCCACCCCCAGCCCCAGCCCCAGCCCCACCCCCACCCCACCCGCTAGGCGAGAGAGCGCCAGGAGCCACCCAGCCGGCAAGGCCCGCCGAGCCCGCGAAGCCCGCGGGCTTTTTTGTGGCCCCACCGGAGGGATCCATCCCCACTTACCCGCGATTCACTTTAACTCCCGGGAAGCCTGGTCGGGTTCTAAGAGCTGCCGCAAATCCAAGAAAACCCAGTCTCCTCGAGCCACTCTCCTCCTTCTCCCTAGGGCGGACATTCGCACACGCTCACACTCCCTCCCTTCCCAACCCCGAACACGCGCTGGGCCGTCCCAAGAGGCTCTTTGGGGGCCGGCCGGCGACCCATCCTGCTCCCACGTGCCTCCATTAACCCTTCGTCCAAACGTGCACAAGGCGCCAAGTGCATGTGCACCGTCTGCCTTCGGAGAGAAGTTCGGCAAACCCCACCCCGCCCCACCCCCCGCACACAATCACACCCCCCACTCCGGCCCTGAAAGCGCCAGCGGGCGCGCGGGCTCAGGCACCCGGCGGGCAGACAATACTCCGGCAACTCCTGCCTTCCCCGCACGCGCCCCGGCGCGTCCTGCCACCACCACTCTCGCGTCTCCCCGGCTTCCTACAGTCCCGAGGGCCCAGAGCAGCGGCCTCCGGATGGTTGCTAGGTGTAGACGGCGAAGAAGAGGAGAGACCCGCACGCACCACCGAGATGGGGAGGGGGGCGGTCGCCGTCCTTCAAAGCCGCCCCCGGGCTCCGCTCCCGAGAAAGCGGCGGGGGTGGGGGCTGAGACCCGAGGGGGAGAATCCCCAGGGAGGCAGCTTCTCCGCACCTCTTCCCCACCTAGCACAGCGCGCGCGCACAAGCGTGCACACCAAGGGGCCGCGCACCTTCCCGCTGCCCCCGGACCTACCCGGCCCTCGCCCCCGAGCTCGGTGGCCCGGACGCCAGGGCATCCGGCCCGCGGCGGCTCCGGAGGGGGCAGAGCGCCGCGCTCGGGGGTGCCCACCTGCGCGCAGGGTAGCCGACGCGGCCGGTGCGCCGCCCGCCGCGCCGCGTCCGCTGCAGGAGGAGGTGGAGGCGGCCCGAGCCCCGGACTCCACACGTCTCCTCGCTCCCCAGCCGTGCGGTCCTCGCTTCCTCTCCTCCGCGAGGGTGAGCCTCCCACCTAGCCCGCAGGTTCTGCCACCGGCCCGCGGCCCGCCCGAGCCAGAGCTGTCCTCCCCGCCCCTTTCCCGCCGCCCCGCGCAGCGCGCGCTCCGCCCCCCGCCCGCCCACCAACCCCCGCCCGGGCGCAGCCGGGGGCTGCGGGCCCCGGGCCTCAAGTCGCCGCTCCCCGGATCCGGGCGGGGGGCGGGGGGTGGCGGGGTTCCGCCCAGACCCCGCGCCCCGAACCCGCTCCCCTCTCCCGCACCGGCCCCGGCCGCCCGCACTCACCCCGCGGTCAAGGGTGTGGACGCCGCACGCTCTGCCCTCGGTCTTCCGGCGTCGCCGCTCCCCGCGAGGCACCTTCCACGGCCCAGAGGGTGCCTCGTTTCTTGGGGGAAGCGGGGGTTGGTGAAGCGGGGTGGAGTGAGCCAGAGAGAGAGAGAAGGCAAAGAAATTAGCATGTCAACTGCCAGGGGATACAAGTTGCTGCCTGTGCCTTGTTTCTGTTACATTAAATACCTGGCTGTGCTGCTTTCCTTGTTAAAACCGCAGCAATATTCAGAGGCATGAATGTAACATTTCCAAGCTCATTGGTTGTAGGGGCTTTTAAAAAACCTGATGATGCAGTAGACAACAGATTCACTCTCTTTAAAAAGTTACTTAATATATGTGGCCACATTTCTTATTTTAAATAATAGCAAAATATAAATAACAGAACAGCTGTGTTTTACAGAAACAGATCCAGCTTGTATGTGTTATTTAAGCCCTCTGTAATTATATTAATTGGATTTGTTTTAAAGCGTATTTTAGGTATTTCTTAAGAAAATGGGCTCAGAATTTAGGGATTAGAAATACATAATTTTTAATTTGGCTTTTTGCCATTATTCTAAAATATCAATTTCATGGAAATTATTAAGTGTGGTTGTGTAGAAAAATGGATCTTTATTCTCCCGAGCTGGCAACATTCTTAGATTTGGCAAAGGACAGACTTTTTTTTAACGAAGAAATAATAAAATTCTCATTCATTTTCTAGGGATGGAATATCTATCTGGTTTAGCAGCTTTTTCTTTAGTGTTTTTCTCTTTGAGGCAAACTTCCTTTCTGTTTCCTCTTGAATTTGTTTTCTTCAAAATTTCCCCCCTAAATATAAATAAAGCTATGGATGCCAGGATTTTTGAGCCTTTGTTTTCCTGAAGGGATAGGAAAATGAATTATAATCGATTATCAAAATCAACTCCAGGCTCATGATACTAAATTTCACACTGATTAACCCTGTTTTTCAGCTCGGCTTTTAGTAATTTAACCTGCCACTTGAGAACCAAGAGTTTTTTTAAGTTTCGTCCCTATAAGAATGAAATGTACACTTTTTAATTAACGTTTTGAACCAAAATTAAATTGACTGATGAAAAGCATATTCGTAGTGCATTTGTTGCTGGGTAAATGAGGACAACGTGGATGATAAACAGCATTCTGAAGAAGAGGCTCTGAAGCAAAGAAAACAGTCTTTAGAAAAACTGATGATCCCCTTTTCAAGGCAAGGATAACAAATACCAGTAATTATGCAAAGAATGACTGCTGCCTCTCTTCTCTCTGCTTTGGTTTTGTGGCTGGGCCTGCATTTATCTCTTTTGATCATCATAATAAAAGTAAAGTAATTCAGCATTCCGGTGACATTGCTTAGTAAATTAGCAATTTGAAAATGCTTTTATTACCTAATTAATCCAAGTAAATGCCTCCAATAAATCCGATTTTATTCTTTTTTTTTTTTTTTTTTTTTTTTTTTTTTTTTTTTGCTGCCTCCAGAGAAACACTTTGTGTGAAATAAAAACAGCTAAGGCTAGCTCAAGAACAATTACCATCTAGACTCTTTTGGTGCATCTGTGTCGCAATAGGGTTGATATTATGTGACCTTTGGGTCTTAAATTATATATAAGATATTGGTTATGAATTGCTCATCGGCTACTTCTTTAATGAGTACCAGCTTGTTTGCTCTGCCCAGAAGCGTATTTTATTTCTTTATGTCAGCCTTACAGAGCCTACCTTTGCCTAAACTGTTTTCATGGAACTTCCACCAAAGACTCAGATCCTAATCCATAGCTCGCTTGACAACCATCTTTGTCCTTCAAGTTGTCTCCCTTGAGGTCTTTGGTAAAAATCCAGCATGATTAACCATCCAAAATTGGACAGAGTACTCTGTCAAGCACGATTCTGACTAAGAGATAACAATCAGATTTCTCAAAACCAAGAGGGTGTGTCTCATTTGAATAAAAAGAAGAAACAAAACTGGCAAATCCGTTTTGTTCAGGTCAAAACCAAGCCAACGAAATCACAATCGAGATCCTTTCTAAGCCTGAATTATGCTAAGAGATATATAAAAAGCACAATCCAAATAACTTCATCTGTATTTTCTTTCACCACTACAAATCCCTTGCCTCACTGACCAAATACCATTAGATTTCATGTTTCCCTTTTAAGGTCCCGTGCTATTGAGAATTTTTCACTGATCTTTCAATAAGAAAGTGCAACCAGAAACTCCTGCTGTCTCCAAGGGAATCTGTGTCCCTCTCCCTTTTTTAAAAAAAAAAAATTTTGTTTTTTGAAATGTCTATGACATTGATAAGGATAGATCTGAACATCCCATGTAGACCCATGGAGGGGGAGTTCCGATGACCAGTCCAAATTCGGAACAGTGAGGTTGAAACAAAACACGAGTTTGTTGTAATAGCTTAATCCTATCGGCATGTCCCATTCTGATCCTCACCCCAGCACAGAGTTCAATGACACACCAGCTTTCCCCCCTTGAGCAATTTTCTCCTGATAATTATTTTCAACAGAATTTTGTTCATTTGCTCTTTGGGCTGTGTTATAATTCACAGAGAGCCCTAACCTAAGTGTAGTCCTCTCTCCTTTCTTTTCTGTGATAATCGAGGATTGGAGATCCTTTATCCTTTATGGGGGAAGAGGAGATGATAGGGACAGCTCTTTTGCCAGAGTTTCCGCTTCTGACTCTAAGAAAAGCATGATCTGAGTTTCTTCACTTTGGTTGATTGAGATTAGTGAGCAACATCACTGATTCAAATTTGAAGAATGCCAGACTTTAATTGGTCTCCTGGTGCTAGGGAACTCTTGTCACCAGGTTATCACACAAGACAATGATAGAGACAATAGTACCCATGTAATGCTCAGATTGAAATGTTGATGCTCTAAGCTAAGTTACTTAAAATGTGTGTGTGTGGGGGGGTGTAAATGTATAACTCAAAGCTAAATATACACCTGAATACTTAAAATAGATCCTTCAGTTATGAAACTCTTTGTAAGCTCTCTTATGGTTTTTGGGTATGTGATAAAATAAAGAGTACTTCAATATTTACCTTACAGGAGAGTACCTTTTTAAAAAAATTTTATTGATTTATTTTATGTAATCTCTATGCCCAAGATGGAGCTCGAATGCATGACCCCGAGATCAAGAGTCCCATGTTTTTCTGACTGAGCCAGCCAGGTGCCCCCAAAATTACCTTTTTCTTTCTTTCTTTTTTAAAGATTTTATTTATTTCTTCATGAGAGAGGCAGAGACACAGGCTGAGGGAGAAGCAGGCTACATGCAAGGAGCCTGATGTGGGACTTGATCCTGAGACTCCAGGATCAGGCCCTGGGCCGAAGGCAGGCATTAAACTGCGGAGCCACCCAGGGATCCCAAGAGTACCTTTTCCTGATCCAGATTTTCCCATAAATTTCCCAGAACCAAATATTTAACCATATCATTTCATGATGGAAGGAAGGAAGGAAGGAAGGAAGGAAGGAAGGAAGGAAGGAAGGAAGGAAGGAAGATAGGGAAGAAGAAAGGAAGGGAGGGTTAAGCCAGTGTGATAGATGGGGTGAGTACATGTATGACTCATCAGCACAACTGTTGAGTACATCAGGTTAGTCAGATCATGGTTTCCTCCCACATGGACTATTTTGTTTTCATCTGCTTCATGGCTGCCAATCAAAACCTTATTCCACGGCGCAAACATTGTTGGTCACTAGATGTTGTGGGTGAAATTGTGTCCCCAAAAAAGATATGTCAACGCCCTAACCCATGGTACCTGTGAATATGACCTTATTTGAAAATAGGGTCTTTACAGATGTATTTAAGATTTAAGATGGATGTTGAGATGAATTCATACGGAAGTAGAGTGAGCACTTCATCCAATATGACCCATGTGTTTGCTGGAAGAGAAGAGACAGACACAGAGGAAGTCAGTCCCATGAGGATGAAGGCAGAGATCAGACTGAGTTAGGCTGTCGCAAGGCAAGGAACACCTGGAATTACCTAAAATGGGAAGAGATGAGAAAGGATCCTTCCTTAGGGGCCCTGCCAGTGCTTTGATTTTGCACTTCTAGCCCCCAGGACCGTGAAACGATAAATTTTTGTTGTTTCAGCCAACCCACTGTGTGGTACTTTGTTACTGCAGCCCGAGGAAACCAATATACCAGGGAATCATCAACTCCTGGTGATGCCAGCCCATAATCTTCCATATCCGGCACAGAGAAAATGCTTAATTGTAGAATGTTTAGGATCAATAGACTGTCAGAGTCAGCTCTGTACTTGAAGCACAGCAGCAGGGGAAAAATCATCCAGGAACTGGAAGGAATCTTGAGAATTTACCTAATCTCATGGTTCCTCCAAGATGGGAGTTGGCTACAACCGAGATTCATAGAGTCACAGAATCTTAATGTGTTCAAAGAATGTTGGATATTTTTCTCTACTTTTGAGATTATGCGATACCTCGGTGGCGTGGCTTTAAAATGTGCAGGATGGGGTCCTCAGCACACATTGCACCCCCAACGCCCAACATGCCCCCCTGATTCAATCCTACCTCCAGTTGTTGGGTTATAATAGCTTCCTCCCTTTGTGTTAAAGCGTTTGGTCTTCAGTAATCCCAAATTAAAATGTAAATGAGTCTGGAAGACTTCCCAGCCTGAACTCATGTCAGTTCCCAACTTGTATGTTATTCAGTTCATCATTATA